AGCTCCTAGAATTTTCTGGGTTGGTTGACAAGTGCTGCTACGGGCGGACGACTACGTGATTACGGAGGGCAGTTGGAAAAAAAAAGTTTCTGACCGATTGCACGAGCAATTTCAGTTTGTTAAATTTTATTCTCGTTCTGAGAATCCCTATTTGGGGAGTAAATATTGCTGTGTCAGTATCGACGTGTGGAAAGTTTCGATGAGTTCAGTAAATAGTTAGTCTGAGATTTGTTATTTTTGTGTACTTTCCACACTACCGCTTGTTGCGGATCACTACGGCAGAACGGCCATTTTGGTGTCCTTTTGCCACCAGAAATCTTGCAAGCCACTCAACAACCACGTAAGTCGTTTTATTGTACAATTGTAAATCGATCCTAGTATGGTGTTCTCGTTAGGGCTTTTCCTTTGGGGTTCTTCTCCGTCTTCCCACCTACCTTCGCACATGAGGCCTGCCCTAGGAGCTCTAGAGAACAGTGATTCTAATTCGAAGTCTGTTCCTGTTGTCCTGCATCGACCTGTCTCTCAGCTCGGTCAAGATCAGGGTCAAGATCATGGATCCGCAGATAGGGAGGAAGTTCCTGTCTAGGGGTGGACTGCCACATTCAACACCAACCATCACCATGGGACCTGTCCTCCTTGTTATCCTCAAGGAGTCCAGCTAAGTGCCTCTATATTTTTTTTGTTTCACCATGGGACCTGTCCTCCTTGTTATCCTCAAGGAGTCCAGCTAAGTGCCTCTATATTTTTTTTGTTTGGTGTCTTGGCACAAAAATTTCAGTACTGTCTATATTGATTACTGATAGTTTGCTTTATTTTGTGATCTTTGCGGAATGAAACGTTATTGACCTTACTTAGGAATCACTCCTGTTATACCAACTGTTATGATAGGCAAATCCTCACATTACCACATTGTAAAATAATATACGTTGTCCCCAAGAGAGATCTCCCTTGTGCGAAGGTACTTGCTACTCTGAATTTACCTGTTCATTATTTAATTGACGAATTCATTTTTGTTGTTGACTCAGGGATTGAAATTAATGAGGATGAATACCTAAAGTATTCCTATTTAAGGATTAAAGAACCTTTTGTTCGATTTAGTTGTTTTATTGGGTGAACCCAGGAAACTACCATACAGAGAACCCACGGAGCTAGTCTGGTTGTGTGCTAGTAACTTATTTAAGTCACAGGGCATTATTAGTGCACATTAAATACCTTTCTTGTAGTTCTAGTAACAATTGAGAGTCAATATTATTGAAGAAGTGTGATGAGCTAACCAAGTAAATTCCCAGCCTAATAATAGTCCAACTAGGGTTTATGACCTAGGGCCGAGGCTCAAAAATATTTCGATTTGACTTTTAATTGTGGATTCTCGACCTTTCCCTTTTGTTGCCCTGGTATGTAACACAGCTGTTCCGATCAACATGAATTATTAGCAGATGACTATACGAGGTATGCCAATAGGCGTTTCAGAATAAGTGATACGACCTCTTGCGGAGGAATGGAAACTACATTGAATATTTGTTTACATTCAAGTTTCCATGCATTTTATCGGAAGTTTTTCTTTATGTTCTGGTTCCTACGAAAAGGGATATCCTCTTCAAAGAACATCGTGAGAACCAAGGGAAATAAGGTAGGAATTGGTGTTCTTCTTGAATTTCTGGAGGTTATATGCCTCGGGGAACACCCTGGCAATGTGTTCCAGAGTCTCGCTTCTCGTCGGATGAACGAGTCTTTGGAAAGAGATGTTTTGCAGGTCTCCAAAGTGACCACGAAGGGGTGCGATGCCTCAACTCGACGGGTTAATCTCGCGATGACTGCCAAGGAAAGAACAATTGTTGTTATTTCAGAAGAGCATCGTCCTTGGAAATATCTATAAAATAGAGCCAGAGCACCAACTTTTCTACGGTGTTCCAGAAAAGTGAGTGAGTTTGTGAGCAAGGCATCACTCACGAGACGAATTGCCCTTTTTTGGAAAGGATCCAACAGTTTCAGGGTATGTTTGGGAGCTGCACTCCAAATATGGGAACAGTATTTCAGGATAGGTCGGATCTGTGCCTTATAGATCATGATCAGCTGACTGGAAGTGAAAATGGTTCTGGCCCAAAACAGGAAACCAAGTTTTTGGGATGCATACTTTCAGCAATTGATCTCACGTGATTTTCTCAAGAATGGTTATTGCGGATAGTGATAACAAGCATCGGAATCGATGTCCTCAAAGGTATGGTTATTCCTGAAAAGCATATGTTGGCCACAGTGAGATCGGCTTTTCAAGAGAAAAGGCATATGCTTGTGTTTTGTTTGCATTGAATTCTACCAAGTTATTGGATCCCCATTCGAGAATTGTTGCCAAGTCCATATTTATGTTGTCAACATTTCTCTCTCGTTCGTTTCTGATCTGCCTGGCTGGTATTGGAACCCTGGAAGAGAAGATGGTATGGAGGGTACTATCATCCACGAAGCTGTATACACTGGACATGAAGTTGCTTCCAACAAATCGTTGATATGGAGTAAAAATAGTGTTGGTGCTAAAATTGTTCCTTGTGGAACACCAGCAGATGAAACTCCGTCGACCATTACATGGAGAGACCTGTTTGAGAGAAAACTAGCTAGCAGAGAATAAAGCTGGGAAGGCAAGCCATTAGATAGAAGCTTGGCGAGGAGTCCGTGGTGCCAGACTCCAACGAATGCCTCGGAGATATCAAGTGCTACGGCTAAGGTTTAACCATATTCTTTAATAGATTGCTGCCATATATGTGAGACGTAACCAAGCAGGTCACCAGTTGATCTTTGATGACGGAAGCCATATTGCCTATCGTTGATGATACCTGAATGTTCCAAGAATTTCATGAGCTCGATGTTGATACCTTTCTCCATGATCTTTGGAATAATAGATAGCAGTGCGATAGGTCTGTAGTTGCTAGGTATGGTCTTCTTGCCTTTTTTAGGAACTGGTTGTACTCTTGCAACTTTCCAGTTGGACGGGAATATCTCCAATTTGTATTGATTGAAAGTTAGACATGTTTTCTCCCAGTTTTGACTCAATGACTTGTTCTTCCCTATTATTCTATGCAAAAATGAGTTCACCCTTGAAGTCATCATCGCTTTTTCGGTCTTTTCTATGTATTTCATTTGTTACCATCTTTGGGCACGTTTCAGTTCCTTTGAGAATTTCAGTACGCAGCAAAAATTGCGAATGGCAGCACTGATTCCGATGTTCTTAATGGTTAGGTAATTTTTGTTCCTATGCTTCCGATCCGTGTCCCTATTCAGTGAAAGCTTCAATGTGATTACGTCATGCAGAAACTTCGAGGGTTCGTTTTTCTCGTGAATAGCTATCTGTCAGACGCATTTTAGCCGTTTCACACTCGACAACGTAATTTCCACCGCAGAACTCGAATTTTGTCGTTTTCAAAGAAATACAGTCCTGCCTTTATGCCAGGGTTTCGTTGCGAATTCGCGCAACAAGATGCAGATGGATCCTGCACCAAAAAAAGTAGGTTAAACGTTCTCGTTGAACGAGTGAGGAATTCTAAAACGGTTCGTTTTTCATCTGGCAAGGTGGAATATCTGTACAGATCGATCGATATTTGGGAGAGTGACACTAGAATCATAAGAATTGATCTTGGTGACACTTTTTTCATATTACATGAATCAACAAAGATAGGTCAGGTTAGTTTCTTCTACTATGCAAGATTTTGGATGGGTTGCGTGTAAGAACTGTCAGATGACCGACCCTGGATGTGAAACATTGAAACACAACATCACTTTTCCTATTTGCTTGCAAATTATTGGGATAGTTTTTCACAATTATTTTGGCATACGAATCGTGTTTTTCGGCTATTCATTAATTCGCGCATGCTGTTGAATAATGCACAAAAAATGCAGCGAGAGACGAAGAAATCCGGTTGGGACATTATAATTCAAAAGTAATTACCTACTATAGTCATACATATAGTTTTCATTCCGAAATTTGGTAATTTTCCTGATTTCTCATCGGAATGTAGTATGAGCTAATAGAAATACTCGTGAAATTTCTAAGAGAATGCAAAATGATTGGAATCATGCAATCAAATGGAAGGACGGGTCTAACATGCTGACGAAATATGATCGTGTATGTTGTAGACATTTTCAATCTATTAGCAGTATTCGCTTCTATTGCAGAAGTGGCAAAAGGAATTAAAAAAAAAGGAGACAAAATTTCATAATGAAAACTATGTGAGTTTACTATTCACCTGTAAAATCATATTCCTTCGTCTCTCGCTGCATTTTCCGTGCATTTTACAACAGCACAATGATATGACATGCTTGAATTGATGAATAGCGCAAGAAACACGATTCGTATGCCATATTATTATATATAGCTATTTCAATACTTTGTTTCCTCTGTAAACAAATAATAAAAGTGAGGTTGTGATTCAATGTTTTACCTATAGGATCGGTCATCGTGCACGCGACCTTTGAACTGCTATAATCCAACCTATATAGCTTCATGTTTCCAATACGATTTGAGTGAACATATTATTATTCATCCATCATCAATGTTGAATAAGAAAGCTCCCATCCAGAAATACTGCCAAACTCAAGCGACTGCATTGGACGTGTTCGAAACTTCAAGCATCAAGTATTCGTTCGTCTATCGGGAAACCTAAAATACTTACATTAAAGTTCAAAGTTTGTTCTTTTCCTTCTCTATAAGAGAAATCTAATGAAATTATCGATATACCGTCTAGTTAATTTTCTATCTACTGTTTCTATATTACATAATATATCATATTATAGTTCACTTAGTAGCCATATTTTGCCTCACTAGATAATTCCACAAAATGTGAATAGAAACCACACCTTATAATATACAGTGCAACCATAAATACCGTTATAAACATCGTCAATACCTGTGATATACGCTGAACTTACATGCCTTAACATCTCCAGTCGCAACCTAAGTGTGTAAAACTTTGAGAGTGCCTTCAAAATCGCCCTTACCACGAAAAAACCAGACAATGGTAGAATCCACCAGCAAATGCGGTCGCCACGCGGTGTGTAACGGTGAAACCCCCGAGAAGAACCTCATGTCCAAGCGCAGACGACACAAAACAGTCCATTTCGGCGACAACCTGTTGCTGCAAGTGTGCACCAACGCCAACTTAGCCTCCCAAGTGTCCTACGCCAAGATGGAGCCGAACGTGCAGCAGCTGTTCAGCTTCATCGAGACCGTCCTCAGCGCTTGGGTGGCGGAAGAGGGCCTCACCTCGCAAGGGGAGGTCAGCGAGATGGACGAGAAGGAGATGCAGCGGAGGAGGCACAAGAAGCACTGCGCCAAGGTGAAGAAGTTGGACGTGAGGAGGCTGGTGGCTGAGGTCGCGAGGCTGAGTGGGACTAGGTATTTGGGGAACCTCAGGTACAGGCACATGCACTGGAAGGGGAACCCGGATGCTGAGGGGTGCAACGAGCTGTTTCTGAGGAAGGTTAGTTCCGGAACTTGTCTATTGTTTACATTACAGGTTGTTCCATTATCGGTGTCCATCTCGATTATTTTTAAGGATGGAGATTTGCGATTTTCTGTTGGATAGTGGAATAATCAGTTCACTCCTGCTCTGAATATCATCCTGTGAAAGGAATTATTTCGTTAGTTTTTGACTTATTATAATGACCAAGTTAACACATGTTGATCTCAGAGATATGAGAGGGCATCACAGTATCGCCACACATCACATCCGTGGCACTAAATGAGGGTCATACTGAAATCACAATAACTGCTATTCCGAACCCTTTTGGTAATTTTATGATTCACATCATGATGCCAAATAAAACTCACAGTATGTATTAAGCGACTCTTCATTCAACATCAAAATTCATTGATTCCATTTGTTACGTAAATAGACAAGAATGTGAGGTTCCAGTGAGTCTTTTGGTTGTTAGGGAGTCTCACAAATTCACCTACATTTCAAGTCTTAAATCCAATGAAATGTGACGAATGTTTTGTGAAATAAAGAGTCCGCTGGCAATACCAATGATGTTTCATTGTAATTCGCATTGTTACCTAGCGAGACATGAATGTGACTTCTCAGGGATGTTTGTGTTCACTGGGAAATGATCTACTAAGTGTCAGAAATGAATATATTATACATGTCATCATCAAAAGTAGTTCTCAAAAGAACTGTGTACTTCTGCCGATTTTCTAAAGGTTATGAACGCTAAAGTAAAATGAGTCAAACAAGTTATAGAATAGAGCCACTAAATAGTGACAATTATGATACCTGGAAACTACAGATGCAAGCAGTATCAACACGAGCTGGATTATGGGACTATGTTGGCTACATACGCGGGAACCTCACGATATCATAAACGAAATTCTCATAGCCAGCTTTGTTTTTGAGATATAGGGCAAAATAGAAAATGTTGAATTTTCGGACACCCCTGTATCTCAGCTATTATTCAACTTACCGAAAAGTGAAAACTGTGTTTCTTGTACTCATTTTATGTGAAATCCAATGGCGTAGTAATATTTTCGACATAAGCTGATATTATTCAGATATAACCCAAAATAGAGTTTTTTTCAAAAGAACACCTTGAATATTTTTCATATTTGAAACCCTGATGCCTCGCGCTTTTCATACATACACACACTTTTACGATATGTTGAGTATTAGCCATATATTTCGATAATTCCCTGTATTTCAGTAGATTTATACAGTTAAGTTAGAAAATGAACAGATAGATGGCAATCATTTTATGGATGTGGAATGAATTAGAAATTCAGAAGCATCATAGAAACTATTTGTGGTTAGAAGTCTCTTAAGATCAGTCTTGAATCTCTTCAGTAATTGATTTTTCGTTGACTCGGACAGTAAGTTGTAGATATGACTCCCACTATATTTAGGAGATTTTTTGTACTCCATTTGATAAAACTTCTCCATATAAATATTATTGTGATTTCTAGTGGTGTATTTGTGAATTTCTGAACACTTCTTTAGATGGTATTTGCTTTTATGGATGTGACACAATAACTTCGATATATAAATGCTGACCACTGTTAATATTCGATGATTCGTGTGATTTCTACAGGAATGTTGATACTTCAAGTTATTGTTCAAATGCTGTATAGACCCAATTAATAAGTGACAATTGAAAAAGCGAGTGCAGAATGTTTTATAATCCTGGTCAATTCAATAGCGAATAAACTAGGATATTGAACTACGAAAAATGAGATGAGGTCCGGTTATGAGTTAGTTTATATATATCCGTAATCATTTGATCCAAAATCAATTGGCTTTCTTGATGGAGTCATAGTTTAATTGAGAAATTCACCAGGAAAAACACCCATGTACACAACCTGACTTGCCATTTTTGTACCTGCAATTCGTGTATGGCCATCGACCATTGGTAAGGGGGAAGGGGCTGGTTTTCTACAAAAAATTATTTCACAATGAATCTTCCTGTATCAATGATACAAAACAGAAAAGATCAGTACTTTTAAATGGAAAATATCAATCATTTTGAATTGTTTGTATTATCAGAATTTCCTTAATTATTGTAAAAACTGCATCCGTCTTCGGCCATTTGAAAATATCAACGAGCGCTATTCTGCCCTCCTAAGCTAGAACGCAGTAACTCCTAATTTGTCATTTTGGAGTTACTGCATTTCTAACATATCTAGAACATTTTTGTATCAGTCTAACTGAGCAAAAAAGCAGTATTGGCAATCCATATTCAAATAAATGGCTAAAACGTTTGCAGTATGTCCACTTTTTGATGTTCATACATATCTAAAGAGCAGTATCTGACATTTGCTTGACTAAAATGCAGCATCTCCAATTTTGCCTGGAGATACTGCGTTTATGTCTAGGGTCAGGCATAGTTTATTGTATGTGCGGCAGATCTCAGTCGCATTTGAACGTGTAGAAGATAACATAAACATAACCAACAAGTAATAAAAAAAGGGATAGTGTTAGTTTGGAAAAAGTTATTTCGAGTAATTGGTAAGTACTTTCTTCATAATGTTTATTGTCATTTACTTCTTTCTTTCTATTTCTTTTTAATTCGGGAGTTTACTTGAGCTCTTTATTATAACAACTATATTAATTTATATCAAAAATATTGTACATTTGTCTCAGTTGTTTGATCAGTTTCCTACTTGCCATTTAAAAAAACCTTAAAGGTGCTTCTTGGCTAATGCCTAATTGAGAATTATTATTCATGTTATTTGAATGTGGTTTTTTCACTTGCTTCAGATTTGCTCCTTAAATTACTATCGAGAACAAGGAGTACGGTTATCGGTGGAAACTGATTAAGAAGGGTCTTCAGAATAAGGTCACAATAAATGTAAGTGATGTGCAAGCTATATCCAGCAATGTGATCGAACAGACAGAATCAAATGAGTGTGTTACATTGAATCCGCTGAGCCTCTACAATGCCGATATCTCCAAATCTGGTTCGATTGCTGCTTCGCTATCTGAAGATAACTTAGACGGTCCTTCATTTATTGGACAAGTTTTGATCCACCAAGAATAATTAAACCAAGAGGAATCACAAATGAGAGAAAACGCAACATCGAGAAATACTTGCTTCCTTTAATACCACAAAATAGACGAGTATTTTGGGAAACACTTCCTGTTGATGACACGGCGATCGACCTAAGAAATGCAGATGAAAAGAAATGATAAATTATATATATATATAATAAATTAAATCATTTTTGACTTTCATTTGTTTTTGTCGTAGGCACTAATATTGCAGCATCCCTTTTTTTATTCCATGTCGCTTGTCTACAACGCAGTAACTCCCAAATTTTTCCAATACTGCAAAACTGACTAGCACCAAAACAAATTTCGAATTTCATATACTACACTAAAACGCAGTAACAGCCTATTTTTGATTAAATTATTTGATTCAATTAATTTCAAATATCAGAGTAGTTAGAAAAAGTGATCATCCATTATTATACTCAGTTGTGGAATATTACATGTCTGTTTACCTGCTCGCCCAGGAAAAAAACTTTAAAACCTCATTAACTCAAAAGCACTAAAAGTGGACATACTGCTTTGTTAGTTAGGAGGGCAGTATTAACAAAATTTTTTTTATCTAGAATATGTACTTCCACGGACTGATAGTTTTTGAATGGAATCAATGATGCAAATATTGAAATGAATTAGAGAATGTCTGAGTAATTTCGCAAAATTGAGAAATCAGTCATCATCCCATGCTTGAAAAATATCATTCAACACGACTCATATCACTTCAACCTCATTCAGATATTTTATGATTTGTTCATATTTATTTGAAGTTCATTTATTATCAGAATACCTCTCAACTCACTGGATTCTTTGGGTTTTCCTCTCCTAGTTTCTGAAAATATAAAATATACGAAAAAAAAATGTCCCTGTGTTCAAAGGATGTTTCATTCATAAAATTGGGAGAGACATTTTGTCACTGATAATCAGTGACACTTTATGCTTATTGCACATATGGGTTCAATATAATCAGATTTCAATTCAACAAACGAGGAGGAAAAATATTGAAAAATCAGAAATAATCAACATTCACCTGCTCAGTTAAGCTTCAGAGAGTATCTAAATACTTTTCACTTGTCCCTCCAATTACAATTTGATTTTTTATAACTTTTTAGCAATCTCAACAAAATGAGAAGATGTAATTGAACAAAATGTAGTTATTTATGATATGAACTTGTTGTCACTCTAGGAAAATACTGATTTTCAAGGTATTTGATCTTGAAATAAAAACAATTCGCCTGCGACAAATATACTATAATGAAGCAAGAAACCTTTGCTTGAATCGATTGAAAATTCTGCTGTTATAGAGATGATGGTATCAAAAAGGTATATCTTGTTATAATTTGTGGTTCAAATCACTTGTTTTGTGTGATGTAAGTATCATATTCATACAAGAATAATCATTTCACTATTTACCTATTCATCTTGCCATGGATGAATATCGATGTTTTCGTATGATTAGAGAACCGAGCTGTAACCCATTGTTAAACAACTACTATCTTATCATAAATGTAACTTCAGCTCCGGCTTCGCTATGTATGACGCGTTTTGGTGGATATTTCAAATCAATGCGGGCCGCAAACAGAAGACAAAAGAATAAAATGGAACTGATAGCGTTATACTCTTGCAGTATTTCAGGTTTCTGGACATACACGAATGATGTTTTTTCCATTTCTTCCATTATTCTCAGAGCTATGATTTATCATTCCGAGTGTTATGTGTGTATATATGGATTTTTAACTATCAATGTTAGTTCCAGTCGCTTGGAGTCCCAAATCAATAATCATGTCTTCCTTTGTTGAATTTCCTAACCTTCAGATGTATTTTCACAATCTCCTAAATATGCGATAGATGAAAAAGTGAGACCTCACGCAGACTATATCAATACGTATCCTTGTACGTATCCTAGGGGACCAGGAAAAAGCAATTCTCGCCAGGAATATCTTCAGGGATATTTGACATGTCGATGAAAATTGTATGGATAACTTCGATATACATTTCTCACATATGAGAAAGCACGAGATTCCGATTCATTGATCCACCTGTTTGATATCTCTGTTGATGTTATTCCGAAGATCTTGTAATATCGTGAACTTGATTTATGATGAGTTTTCCTTGATCAAACAGTCATTGTTATTATACACTCACCGGCAAGAGAAACCGGCCCCCCAAAAGTATTTAATTTTTGTTCGATTTTCCTGAAATGAAATAGTATATTGTGCAACAAGTGGGAAAAGGTAAACTTTTCTCACGAGTGTGAAAGTTTGTGACACGAGCCTGAAGGGCGAGTGATGCAGATGCACGAGTGAGAAAAGTGCTTTTTTCCACATGTTGCACACTATTCTTCCTCTACAACTGCACTTATTCAAAGAATCCGAGTAATGTCACTTATTGATATTCATTTTATAATGTGGCACTATGCCCTATTGAATATTGTGACCAAAGAGTAGACGCCTTTCCTAGTTCCTTAAAGTATTTCAAAAGAGTACACTTTTCAAGAAAGAATTTATTTTTGTATTTTTCAAGGTTCCATAAATTCTTCGTACCAATATGCCAATTCATACTTTTTTCTTGAAATTTTCGAAAACAAATCCAACTATTGCAGCTTTTTCCATATCTATGTCTCTGGCGGTGTATTTATCAAAATCGTCACATCTTGGTATATACATCATATTATTTATTATGAATTGGAACAATATTTGATGGAAAATGCGATTACTATCAAAAGCACTATCAAAAACTACAACTATTCGAAGCTGAACAGCAGACAAGTTTTGATCGATTTTTGTTGATTCTCTATGGAGATGTATGTGGTGTTAGCAAAGTGTCGTGAGAAAAATATATTTCTCACAGTATGGGCAATACATGGTTCTGAAACTAAGTAAGCTATGAGAAATGCGATACTTTCCATAGCAGTTGTAGAATAACCAAATTGTAGACATACGTTTCGGAATGTTAAATTGAATTACGACGACTATACGACCCTTGCATGTAGGAACGAAAAAAAGGCATATTTTCAGGAACAGGTGCGAATAAATGGCACACGAGGTATGTGGAGGGAAGTTAAGAAACTCAGTGGCAAAGGTGAAAGGAACCTAATACCTCACTCATTAGAGGATGCACAAAAATTGAATGAATACTATATAGGTTCGTTGCCAGATATCCCTCCTGATGCTGATATAATAGACTTTTTCAACAAAAATTATAAAACCGTACATAATACGTTTGATTTTGAACTGGTGTCGGAAATTGAGATTCAGACGTTGATAAACAATATATCAACCGAAGCAGTTGGATCAGATGGCTTAAATATCAGATTAATACTTCTCTCTTGCCCAAAAATATTGCCATACATTACCGATATAGTGAATAGTTGTCTTCGTAACGGAGTTTTTCCTAAATCGTGGAAGGAAGCTATTGTGATTCCTGTACCAAAAAAACCGAACCCATCTGAAATGAAAGATTTGCGACCAGTAAGTATACTGCCCACACTTTCCAAAATTTTGGAAAGGGTCGTGGAAAAACAATTGTGAACGTTCTTATCACGTAATGAAATATTGCCGGAAATGCAGTCAGGATTCAAGCCAATGCATAGCTGTGAAACAGCATTACTCGACGTTTCGGATGATATTTTCAGAGCCACCGATTCAAAGATGATCAGTGTTTTGGTATTGTTGGACTATTCGAAGGCCTTTGATACTTTGAACCACGAAATTCTTCTCGCTATTCTCCACTATTTAGGTCTCTGTGATAATGTTATATCTTTCTTCAAAAGTTACATCAGCGGTAGGTATCAAAGGGTTCGGATGGGATGCACGATATCAAGCGCTCTTATGCTGCCTTCGGGTGTAGCTCAAGGATCCATATTGGGTCCACTGTTATATACGCTATACACATCAAAATTTTCAGAGGCGGTGAAATATTCAAAAATACACTTCTATGCTGATGACACTCAGCTGTATCACTCTTTTGAAATATCTAACATGGATGCATCCATCCAAGAGATCAATACGGACCTGAGACAAATTGTCACATTATCTGAAAAATACTCTCTGAAAATAAATGCAGAAAAAACAAAAATGCTATGCTTCGGTCCAAAATGTTTATTGTCAGACAATTTGGAAAATATTAGTGTACTTGTTGATGGGCATGTAATACCCCCCTCGGAATCTGTGCGAAATCTAGGAATCATTTTTGATAGTTCCATGAGATTTAAGAAACAAGTCTCCAAGTGTATTAGAGCTGGATATGCAAGCTTAAAAATGATATATGGTATTCGTCATTTCATGAACAGTAGAACTAAATCTGTACTGTGCGAGTCTTTAGTTTTATCAAAATTGAATTTTGGCGATGTACTATACGGACCTTGTTTGGATTCAGTTGATAAACAGAGAATACAAGTGCTTCAAAACTCCTGTCTCAGATTGATTTTTGGTATACGCAGGAGAGAGACTATCTCGCATAAACTTAGAGATTTATCTTGGCTCAACATGAATAACCGCCGAAAGTTACACGCATTATGCCTTTTTCACAAGGTGATTTCAAATAAGTGTCCACCATATATGTACAGGAAAATCACTTTTCGAAATGATATCCATCACCTTAATATTCGAAATAAATTCAAAATAACAGTCCCCAAACATAGAACGGAGTTTTTCAAAAGGTCGCTCTCTTACCAAATACCCAAACTATATAATGATTTACCAGATTCTTTCAAGGCTTCATCAACTTCTACATTCAAACATAAGATCCGCGAATTCTTGTTGGAAAGCCAGGAATGATTACAAATTCTACTGAAAATGTTTAAGTTGATATTATGTAAATGGATGATTGTTATTATTTTTTTTTTATCAATATTTTTTTTCTGTATGTACCCATATGTATTGTTTTGCTCTGATGTTAGTTTACTCAAAGGTTAGGTTGAAAAACAGAGATCAGGATCCCTACTTTCTGGCGATTCTGTTCACCTGACACCTCGCCTATTTCCACATTTTTCTTTCT